ACATTGTTATGATAGTGTAGAGGCACTCATTGCTGTTCCGAAAATGTCTCTACGGGTTTACTTGCCAGCTCTACTTCCTGTACCGGACCAACTAGACTTTCTGAGCCTCCCGAAGCCATCAGTGGCGAAAAGAGCTTCTGCCGGCAAATTACGCTTTAGGTCGGTGACCATACAACCATTGCAATTATCATGAGTGGAAGATGAATGCATGGCTCACTCCCACACCCACACTCCCATGTCCATTTCAGGATTTCACTCCGTTCACTATTCCTGGGGCTCCCAACATCGATCCCAACACCATATTCTGTTCGGTTGTTGACACAATTTGAATAGGTTTGTGTGTGCTCTGATGAACCCGTGAGCTGCAGCACCTCAGTGGCTGGTCATCAATTATTCATTTCATGCTCACATATGAGAATGGGAAGGCAGGGATGGATGCGAATTGAACAATTTGCCAGGTGTCAGCCGCCCCCACCATTCCATTCTGAAGCATCGACGTGAACGTTTTTCCATTTGAAACCTCTAGTTTCAAGGAGCTGTCCTGTCCCGCCTGAACAATCGTTTCTGATTTCGAATGGATGGAAAGTGCATGGCACATTCCGCGAAACTTGACTTATCCACGTTTCAATTAATGTCGTTATGGCTCCGTTAATATTTTCGAGAATTGCTTTTATGTCTGGCAAACTTCATTCAAGGAACTCTCGGGAAGCCCTGATAAGCTTCTTAGGATTAGGGGAGTTGGGCGGGGATGTTGACTGAGCAGATGTGGGCGGACGTGGAACAGCCCGCACCTGGCCAGTCATTAGCTAATACGCTATCATTGTGTCTCATTTACCGCGCAGCGTTCAGATGAGAGGCAGCTCTTCAGTAGTTACACAGCTGTCTGTCCTTTTCACGGATTTCCCGCCGTATATGTCGGTTTTTCTGTTGAAGATGGGGTTTCTTATAAATTCCCCAGTCAAATTGCCGTGAAAAATTAACCACCACCTGGCACTGGTCCAGGTAATAGCCAGGCAGACTTGGTGGCCGGGTTGCCTAAAAGCCTCGGAAAACGGAAACCGGAACTGGCCTATTCTCTACTATCTACCAGTGGGAGGACCAGGATAGGGAGCGCACTGGCCTTGTTGTTTGCTCACATTTCCGGCTGGGCGAAAGGTTCGATTACAAGGGTGACCTTTTGAGCGGCTGAATTTTTTGAGGGTTCTACCCTAGGGTTACCTAACTCTGGTCAGATCGACCACTTGCCTGTTCGAGGCATAAGACCGTAAAAGTGCTAGTGAGTGCTCTCTGCCAGCGAAAGGCAGGGCCAGGGTCAAGCGTCCGTTTGCTTTTAAAGGGAACAGCTACCGAGACGCGCGCTGATGCACGGTAGTGTTGGAAGAAGCTGAAGGCGCCGATCGTATCGGCGGGCTTGCCAGACTGGTGTGCCCGCGTGGGGAGCGCGAGTCGCATCGAGACCTTCTATAAGAGAGGAAGAGTTCGCAAATTCTTGAAAACGGCTAACGCACGGTACCTGCTTTAACACTCACGCTTTGCTCCAGTGGCGTCCGTAGTTGTAATAAGCGGGGCGGCGCGCTCTGTTATATTGTGCTCGGTAACATGCTTTCCTTATTACCCTTCTGGATTGCATTCATTTTAGCCTATTTCCATGCTCACTGATAGTCCGAGGGGTGGCAAATTCTCGCTGCTGTTGATGTTTTGGTATGCGCCATGCACTTGTAATTTGCTCAGTATTAGATTCCACCTTAGAAATGACCCGATCGAAAATCACATAAAACATTGTTTATTTGCCCAAATAGGTTATGCATTCTTTCCTGTTTTTCTGCTGTGTGTCCTTAGGTGCGTTTAAGGCCTAAGGCCTCTAATTATGTAGAAGAACCAGCATTGATTTAGGTTCCCCTCGGAGGTGAATCAATAAAATCAATATTTTCACTTCATAGATATTATTTTGCAATCCGACGTTTCCGGTGTGCTGCACCAGCCTTGGGACAGCCGTGCGCTCTATGGTCTCGTACATCCGGCAATTCCCTAATTGTCAGCCGATATCGACCCACTCTCACCTGGCTTCCCACCTTTAATTGTGCTCTCGCCCTAACACCTCCCATTCCTCACAGAACTCCACAAGCCCGAGGCAGCAACGGGTCCCGGATATGAGCTATTTGTTCATGTATGCGTGACATGTCACCTTCACCTTTCTCACGAGGACCACGTTTCATTTGTTGGACTCTGACTCTCATGGGATAAAGCTCAAAGGGGCAGGCAATCAATTTTGTGCTCAACTTCACTTATACCTCAAGCTCACATTTGACACCCTGAATTTCAAGCTCAGAATTTTTATCATGTATTCTTGACTTATGGTTGCGCCGTGTGCTTTCTGTGGCTTGCTTTTTTGACACTGATTGAAAGGTATCTGGGTTATCGCAAACTTTTAATGCGCAAGTTTTGTTTCAAATCTTAACAGTCCTATTACAGACTTATAGCTCACTAAACCTTTATCGTTTAATCGTTGATAATCAGCTACTGATTTGGCGCTGAAACACCTTCTTCAGCACCTTTTTTCCTTTGGGCAAGTTTCAATTATGTTAGCGCGAGTGAGCAATGGAAGTAGCGGTATCCAGGGAGATGTTAGATTCGGGGTAAAAACATAGCAAGTACAGGAAATCGAAGGCTTACATACGTATTTGCCCTTCCGGCGTTGACAACTTCCAGTTCCGTCTCACAAGTCTTGTCAGTACAGCAATTTTCACCATCATTAGTAGCTTACCTTCTATTCGTGGGCTCGCTGTCCATCTTAGTTTCAGAAGACCTGGAACCTCTCTTAAGTTCTGGTACCATTTTCGGAGCCGTTTATGGCGAATGCGGTAAACGGAGGTTGGTTAGTGGCTGTAGGTGTTCTGTTCACTCGCGCAGTCTACCGTTCGGCTCTCGCTTAGGCAAATCCACGTCTCCCAACCATCTGAGGTTGCTGAATGGTTGAGATTCTGCTGAACTGATGAACTTGCTGTGAAATTGTGCTGCACAAATGCTCCCACAAATCTATGTAAAAGTCAAGCTCCGGGCACCGTTGAGAAGGATTGACCACGGTCCAACACTTTATGGCCCATCCTGCGTCTTTGTGGTGAAGGACGCAGATTTACAAGGAGACGCTGTTTCTCTAGTCGCCCCGTTTTTCGTCTTTTGCTTGAAATTTCGCAATTGCTGTAATTAGAACTTTTTTCCCTTCGCAACCCTGTGACCGTATTTTATCAGTATGCAGCATTTGCGCCATCTCTTACGTCACAAGGTTATTCTTTCTAATCCTTCTTTTGATTTACTGACCACACACATCAGGTCCTCTTCTCAAAAATCTAAATGAGCTTTAAATTCATGCAATACCCAGATTGGATGCATGCGTCTGTTGATATGGTGTATCTACTGAGATTCCTTTCTGGTAGCTCAATAAGTAATACTGTTTCGCCTTTTGGTAAGCTTGTATAACAATTTCGGCCGGACCCCGTCTTCCGCATAACAATTAGTTCGCTTCGGGGGGCAGAGGTTAACTGAGGTTGAAGTCGTCCGTGCACTCACGAATTATGACCTGTCTTAGGAAATGTTGGCAAAGCATATCGCCTCCCTTCCCCTGGGAGCTTCTCGACTTCAGTTCTCTAAACCCATTGTGTCACCAATATACTCATTTATCAGTGCCATGACCATGGCAATAAGCTGAGTGAGTGGTGTGCCTTTAGGTCCGGCCTTTTTTTTCTGAAAATGAAGCTACCGGGGAGATTTGCATGGCAGCTATCTCTTCTTCGATCGGTGTATCTGCTAAAGGGATTCGGTTGGCGCCATTGCAGGCTTGAATCGAGACTCAGATCACAGCAATGTGCGCAAGTTAGCTATCCGTTTTGCGGATACCGCCTTAATGAGAATAACTGCCAAAATTTGAAAACTCCCTCTCACTTTACGTCTAGTCGTCGGCTGGCCTACGGCCTTTGGGCGGCGCTGATACTCAGCGCGAATTCTGTGCCTATCAACGATCTGTGAGCCTTTCCAGAGGTTACAAGATCTGAATTGATTGAGTCAAGGCGCCTTTGCATTTGCAGCGCATAGTTTCCGAGCTGTAAGTAGGCTCAGGCCGCTTACCATGTTTGTCTCATGGTTTATTCTGGAATCAGATGTTGTGTCGTCGTCAAAATCTTACCCTCCCACTAGAGCGTCATCCGCCCCATCAGTCTCGTGGATTCAGTCTGGTAACGTCGCCTCCGAACTCTTAGTCATTTTATAGTGCTTTTTATTGTTTATATATTTATTTGTGTGCCAAAATAACGCGCTCTAACATAAAAACAGGGAAAGTAATAAACAGTAAATAAGCAAGAGGATTGAAATTAGACCGTCCGTTAGCGCATAATATATCCACCACATGCACCTTCTGTCATTACCTTGTCAAAGGGTGAAGCATCCATATTGATCAATCTTCTTTGATATGCGCCACGCATTCTTCTTCCACTCGGGGGACTGTTGTGATAAGTTGAATGCAATCTGGCATACAAAATGATTTTCTGGGGACCTGCCACTTAAAATTCGAGTGCTTTAGTCCTTGCAAACGGATCTGGGTACCAGTTAGCTGACTCCAGGAGCGATGGAGGGATGGAAGGCTGAGCGGATGTCGAATTGGGATTAGAGCTCTGACCATGCGTATGGTATCTGGCGTCACTGGCGCTACACCACTTCCCCCATCAATGGAACTTGTTGAGATATCTGCAGTAACGGCGGGAGTGGTGCACTCGGCGACTGGGGCCACTTACCGCGTGCATGGTCCGAGCATCGACTCTTGGATCGTAGTTGTGGTACACTATTTAGGCCAACTGAGCTTTCCATCCTTCCGAGGTCGCTATGATGGTATCGAACCCGTCTAGGAAGCAAAAAAAAACACTGAGTTGTACATGTACTGGCTCCTGAAGTCGTCTGTTTACGCCAATCGCCTCTCAATGCCATTACGATTCTGAATGGAAGTAGAAGACATGGCGCGTACCATACAGGGGTTGATCAAGACGAATGCTTTATATCCTCTCATTCGCAATAGAATATAAATATATAATCAATCACTAATCCAATCAATAAAAAGTTTGAAACTTTTGAAAATTATATCTCTGGGAGCCACATCCACGCTGACCAATGCACTTACATCAGGTCTCGCTCGAACAAGGCTAGGTATTCATCTCAGAATATGGCAAGCTATCTTCTGAGTTAGAATCATAGTTGGTGACAAAATGCGGCTTTTTTCACGGGTTTCCTGCCCCCAAAATGGCGAATTTTTCATGAAAAATATCACCGTGAGTCCACAGGT